TTTACAGTTGTGTGCGAATGTGTGTACACAAGTGCCGAGTGACTTAACAGTAATCCGGCCCTGAGCCAGGCTTATCTGGTGCTTGCCTAGTTAACCAAGCTGTTGCTGCTTGCAACCCAGTGGCCCACTGTCCAGCCTGGGTTATCCGGCACTTGCCGGAGATAATTAGTTAATTCATGAAAACTTTTAAACCTGTCCCAGCAGTGTTTGATATTTTCTGATAATGTTGAATAGTCGAGGCCCATAGAAGTTGATCGTGTTCTTGTATCGTGCCCATTGCATCCCTGCTGTTCAGTTTTTATACATCTACATCAGTGGTTCTTAACCTTGTTGGAGGTACTGAACCGGGTGAACCCCGCAAGTTTCACCCGTGCATTCACCGAACCCTTCGCAATTGGAAAAATGAAATATGATTTCTTCAGAATATCCACAAGTTTCTTCACGTTGGCTGCCTTGGTTGTTGTGAGAGGCTTACAAAAAAAAAAAAAAAAATCTTCCTTTATCACGTGGAAGCGTTGGTGCGAGTTGGAGGCTGAATTTCGCTGGGCTTGAAATCAGATCTGCAACTACTTAAGCCAAGATGTCATCGCTCATGTCTATTCTGCTGCTGATGGTGTCATTTGAAAGAGGAATTAAGGATAACTTATCTTCAGCAGCTTTTCCCAGCATGATATTCGCCATCTTCAACGCTAGTGTTGTAAGTGTGTTTCACCAATGGTGTGTGGTTTGCTCTGTTTTTGCGATCAGGTATACAACTTCGTATGATGCTGTGAGGATCGGTTTCTTGATGGATACAAAGCAGAGAACAGGCAGAGTAGCCTTTTCGTCCTTCAATACAGCGAGCGTGACCTCCACCGAACCCCTGAGACTGACTCATCGAGCCCCTGGGGTTCGATCGAACCCAGGTTAAGAACCACTGGTCTACATATTTTGTTCTATCACGTTATGATGGTGCGTAGGTTTGGGACAAGGCACCTATGCATATACGAGTCTAAGCCTCCCCTTCCTCCCAAGAAAATAAATATTTAGAACTTTGACTCGTTCTCTGTAATTTAAATACTATATTGGCTCTGCGAGCCGTAAACGATCTCTGTACCAGCTTTGGCATCCTGCCTTTAACAGAGTTGTCAGCATTGAACACTAAGCGAGAGCACTAGTGATTGGCATGCTTTTCCCCCTTTTTTTTAAAAGCTCATGTTAACCATCCCATTTTCTTGGCTTTCACAACATTTGCCTTAGTGTTCATAAGATAGGTCAGCTGGCATTATCACACCCAAGTTTTTCACACTAATTTCTTACTGTTTGGTGATACAGTAGTTTGTCACCATGGAAAACTTTGCTTACATCCTCTTGGAATTTTTTTGGTCTTTTTGCTTACTCCTACTCTTTATGATGTTTAGAAAAATGAATATCCATTTACCTACTTTACTCATTCTATCCATGAGGCATGTGCCTCATTGCTGTATGCATTTACTTGGTCACTCTTACTAAATGCCTTTGTGAAATACGTGTAGACTAGACCTGCATTAAAGCCTTTTTTCCAATGCCTCCATAATTTTTTGGCTGTGATTAAATATTTGTGACAAACATGATCTTCCCTATTTTGGGTTGTGCAGGTTGTTGTTCATCATAGTTTGAGTAGGCTTCAGATCACACTTTCAGATGTGCAGAGTTAGAGCCAACAGTCTATATTTTTTTTTTTTGTGCCAGCACTCTGCCTTATTTTGTGTGGAGAAGCTGTCTGCACTTTTTTTAGGGATTTTGCCTACCTTTACCTTTGATAAACCTTCGAGTTTCGAGAGTATTTCTACTCCTGGAACCCGACCATGTGCTAGGCTCATCTGGTTCTAGCAAGGTCAACCAGGCTGTTTCTATTGGTGGCCTGCAGCCCCACATATGCATCATAGCCTTGTTCTGGCACCTGGTGAAAATGCTTGTTCCAGCAGTGTTTCTTATATCTTCTGGTAAGATGTTGAATTATCTGGGGCTATGGATGTTGATAGTGTTCCCTTGTGCTTACTGTGCCCCTGCTTTTCACTGGGTTTATTTTGCACTCTTCCTCCCATATCTCTCATTCCAGTGTGTTATGACAGTGTACAGATTTGGGACGAAGCCCTCGAGTACTTTCCAGGTATATATTATCATGTATATCTCTACTAGATCTTAAGCCTTTTTCAGAGGATACCGAGAGCTCGTGCTAATGTCAGACGTGTCAGGCAGATCAGGCAGAATTAATGACTTTTTCTGCATTCCAGTCTTCTTATATTTAAAATTTCTGAATTTCCTCATACTGGTCTCTTAAAATTTCATTAGTTATTCTCTCGTCAGTATATGAACCTCCTATGATTGAGCTAATTCAACAGGGGTTCATAATTTGAATTTTGCATTTGTAATATCCTTGTTATTTTCTTGTAGTATCCTTTATGGCTTTTTGTTCTGTGGTATTTTATATGAATTGATAGATTATTTATGTAATGATATTAGAAATACTTTATACATATTCGTGGGAAGAACACAAACTGCACAATCCAAACCAGCATGGTTTTAGAGTTGGGAGATCATGCTTGTCACAACAGCTAAACCACTATGACAGAATTATGGGGGCATTGGGAAAAACCCAAACACAGAAGTGGTATATACAGATTTTATGAAGGTGTTTGACATGAGATCATAGGGTGATTGTACTCTCAATGTGGACCTTAGGCATAACAGATTTAATAGATTGTCTCCAGAACCTGACCATACCTGTATAAGGGCAAGTTTTGATCTTATGATAGTGCTGAATGACCTTACATGCAAGTGTCCTTTAAAATCGAGAACTACCGTTTACAGCAGTTATGTTCTCTGCTTATAGTATGAATTGTCTGTAACTACTGCTAATGTACAAGTTTGTAATGTTTGGCAGTTTTCATAATTGGCTTACTGGAAGTGAGAGCTTTGTGTGAACCTTGTGGCTTCACTTGTAAGGTGTGTCTGGGGAGGGGAGCAGTTGAAAGTGACAACTCACACTTTCCCCTTGTACCACCACCTGCCACATTCTTTCCTCTGCCACTGTTCCATGTCCTACCACCATCTACCACTGTTACTTCTGTCCCTGTCTGCCACTGTTCCTTCTGCCACCATCTGCCACTGTTCCCTACTACTCCCTGATGTGCTGCATATCTCAAAATACATTTAGCTATTATTTTCTATAATATTTTCCGAAATAACATGAATGTATTTTGATTTTTTTTATTAACACATCGACCATTTCACACTGAAGCAGGGTGACCTAAAAAAAGACTTTTACCATTCACCGTCTTGCCAGAGGTGCGTTTACAGTGCAGTTCAAAAACTGCACACGTATTTCCACCCCTCCTTCAGAGCACAGACACATCCAGGACTCGAGTCTGGCTAACTGGTTTCCCTGAATCCCTTCATTAATGTTACCTTGCTCACACTCCAACAGCATGTCAAGTCCTAAAAACCATGCGTCTCCATTCACTCCTATCAAATACGCTCACACATGCTTGCTGGAAGTCAAAGCCCCTAGCACACGAAACCTCCTTTACCCCCTACCCCCAACCTTTCCTAGACCGACCCCTACCCCACCTTCCCTCCACTACAGATATATTCACTCTTGAAGTCATTCTATTTCCTTCCAACCTCTCTACATGTCCGAACCACCTCAACAACCCCTCCTCAGCCCTCGGGATAATAGTTTTGGTAATCCTGCACCACCTCCTAATTTCCAAACTATGAATTCTCTGCATTATATTCACACCACACATAGCCCTCAGACATGACATCTCCATTGCCTCCAGTCTTCTCCTTGTTGCAGCATTCACCACCTATGCTTCACACTCATATAAGAGTGTTGGTATAACTGTACTCTCATACATTCCCCTCTTTGCTTCCATGGACAAAGTTCTTTGCCTCCACAGACTCCTAAGTGCACCACTCGCCTTTTCTCCCTCATCAGTTCTGTGATTCGCCTCATCATTCATAGACTTATCTGCTGACATGTCCACTCCTAAATATCTGAATTTATTCACCGCCATACTCTCTCCCTCAGTCTGATATAGAGTCTTTCGTTGCCTCAGTTTTTTATCCTCGTCACCTTACTCTTTCCTATATTCACTTGTGTATTTATCCAACCTGAATTTGAAAGTACCCAAGGTTTTAACCTCAATAACCCTACTAGGCAGATGGTTCTACTCATCAACCACCCTATTTCCAAACCAGTACTTTCCTATATCCTTTCTAAATCTAAACTCGTCTAATTTGAATCCATTATTGTGGGTTCTCTCTTGGAGAGAGATCCTCAAGACCTTATTTATATCCCCTTTGTTAATACCCATCTTCCACTTATACACTTTGATCATGTCTCCCCTTGTTCTTTGTCTTACAAGTAAATGCACTTTAAGGGTCTTCAATCTTTCTTCATATGAAAGATTTCTAATGCTATGTATTAATTTTGTCATTCGTCGCTGAATGTTTTCTAACAAATTTATATCCATTCTGTAAAATGGAGACCAGAATTGAGCTGTGTAATGTAGGTCAGGCCTTACTAATGATGTATAAGACTGTTGTATAACCCCTGGACTCTGTTGGCTAAATTAATATTTTTAGAAACCGTGCACCTCCTCCTAATTTCCAAGTTAGGGGTTTTTGCATAATATTTACACTGCACATTGCCCTTAGATATGATATCTCCACTGCCTCCAGCCTTCTCCTTGTTGCAACATCCACCACCCATGCTTCACACCCACATAAGAGCGTTGGTACCACTATACTGTCATGCATTCCCCTCTTGGCTTCCATGGATGGCATTCTTGATATCAGTGCATCACATACCATTTCCCCTCATCAGTTCTGTGATTCACCTCTTCTTTCTGAGACCCATCTGCTGACAGGTCCACTCCCAAATATCGAATATATTTACTTTCTCCATACTTAAGTGACCCGATTTCCATATTGACTATAATGTTTGGCATGAAATCAACATTGTATATTTGCAGGTGCGGCTGGAGAGCATAGGAGCTGAGGATATAGTGGATGGTAATCCACGTCTCATACTTGGTCTCATATGGACCATCATTCTGCGCTTCCAGATCCAGGAGATTGAAATTGATGTGGTGAGTGGTGATGCTGATACACATGTTAGTGGTTGACCCAGCACTTGGTTGTTTTCCTATCTTTTCTTCCCTGTCCATCTTCACTCTCCTCTTTTTAATTCTTCCTCCATGCACTCCCTCTTTTTCCCACAAAATTCCTCTTTCAATTTTTTGCTGTACACAGTTACTCAGAATTTTAACTAATTTACTCTTAAGTTTTAATATGGTAACGAACTGTCATGCTACCTGACAGTTTAATGTAAATTTTATACTCTAGTTATGACTTTCCTAGGTAGTAGGTTGGTAAACAGCAACCACCCAGAGAGGTACTACTGTCCTGCCAAGTGAGTGTAAAACAAAAGCCTGTAATTGTTTTACATGATTGTAGGATTGCTGGTGTCCTTTTTTCTGTCTCATAAACATGCAAGATTTCAGGTATGTCTTGCTACTTCTTCTTACACTTAGGTCACACTACACATACATGTACAAGCATATATATACATACATACCCCTCTGGGTTTTCTGCTATTTTCTTTCTAGTTCTTGTTCTTGTTTATTTCCTCTTATCTCTATGGGGAAGTGGAACAGAATTCTTCCTCCGTAAGCCATGCGTGTTGTAAGAGGCGACTAAAATGCTGGGAGCAAGGGGCTGGTAACCCCTTCTCCTGTATATATTACTATAGTATTTGAAAGGAGAAACTTTCGTTTTTCCTTTTGGGCCACCCCCACCTTGGTGGGATACGGCTGGTACGTTGAAAGAAGAATACACACACACACACACACACACACACACACACACACACACACACACACACACACACACACACACACACACACACGCACAAAGCACACGCACACACACGCACACACACACACGCACACACACACACACACACACACACACACACACACACCCAACACACACACACACCACACACACACACACACACGCACACCATCCCCAACACACACTACATCCATACCCACAGCCTGCACCCAACACCGAGCTATAGAATCCCACAGTATGCCACCAGTCTCCCCACCCTCACAGGCCCCTCAAACCACAGTGTTGGAAAGGAAACTGAAGGTATGGTACACAAACGCTGATGGAAAAAACAAATAAGTGGGAGGATTGGCATGAAAGAGTCAAAGAAGCATCACCGGACATCATAGCTCTCACAGAAACCAAGCTTACAGGTATGATAACAGATGCCATCTTTCCAACGGGATACCAAATCCTGAGGAAAGACAGAGGGAACAAGGGGGGTGGGGGAGGGGCATTGCTGATCAAAAATCGCTGGAATTTTGATGAGCTGGAGAGAGGAGACAGCGGAGAAGAAAGTGATTACATAGCGGAAACCTTCACTCTGGAGTCCCAAGGTGGTAATAGCAGTGATGTATAACCCACCGCAGAACAGCAGGAGGCCAAGGCAAAGTACGACGAGAGCAATAGAGCATGGTTGACACACTGGCTAGAGTGGCTAGAAAGAGCTCGTGCATGCAGGGCAAAGCTCCTGATCAGGGGTGACTTTAACCACAAGGAATAGATTGGGAGAACTTGGACCCACATGGGGGCCAAGATACATGGAGGGCTAAGATGATGGAGGGGTACTGGAAAACTTCATGTACCAACACGTAAGGGACACACAAGAGAGGAGGAGAGGATGAACCAGCAAGGCTGGACTTAGTATTCACCTTGAGTAGTGCAGATATCGAGGGCATCATATATGAAAGACCCCTTTGGGCCAGTGCCATGTGGTTTTAAGCTTCGAATACACAGTAAGCTACAAGTGGGGGGAGAAGCAGGAAGGCCAGGACGAAAAGAAGCCAAACTACAAGAAAGGAACTACATAGGAATGAGGAACTTCCTGAACGGGGTTCAGTGGACAGAGAACTGGCAGGAAGCCAGTTAATGAGATGATGGAATATGTAGCAACAAAATCAAGGGAGGGTGAGAGGTTTGTACCCAAGGGTAACAGGAAAAATGAAAAAGCTAGGATAGCCCATGGTTTACCCCAAAGGTGCAGGGAGGCAAAAACCAAGTGTGCAGGGAATGGAAGAAATATAGAAGGCAAGGACTCAGGAGAATAAGGAGAGCAGTCGTAGAACCAGAAACAAATATGCACAGAAAAGAAGGGAGGCCCAAAGACAATATAAAATGACATAGCAGCGAAAGCCAAATCTGACCCGAAACGTTGTACACCACATCAGGAGGAAAACAACAGTCAAGGACCAGGTAATTCAGGCTAAGGAAGGAAGGAGGAGAGACAACAAGAAATGACCATGAAGTATGTGAGGAACTCAACAAGAGATTCAAAGAAGTGTTCACAGAGGAGACAGAAGGGGCCACAGAAAGACGGAGAGGTGGGCACACCACCATGTGCTGGACACAGTGCACACAACCGAGGAAGAAGTGAAGAGGCTTCTGAGTGAGCTAGATACCTCAAAGGCAATGGGCCAGATAACATCTCCCCATGGGTATTGAGAGAGGGAGCAGAGGCACTATGTGTACCCCTAACAACAATATTCAATACATCTATCGAAACAGGAGATTGCCTGAGGCATGGAAGACAGCAAATGTAGTCCCAATCTTTAAAAAAGGAGACAGACATGAAGCATTAAACTACAGACCAGTGTCACTGACATGTATAGTATGCAAAATCATGGAGAAGATTATCAGGAGAAGAGTGGTGGAACACCTAGAAAGGAACGATCTCATCAACAGCAGCCAACATGGTTTCAGGGATGGGAAATCCTGTGTCACAAACCTACTGGGGTTCTATGACATGGTGACAGCAGTAAGACAAGAGAGAGAGGGGTGGGTGGATTGCATTTTCTTGGACTGCAAGAAGGCGTTTGAAAACAGTTTCCACACAAGAGATTGGTGCAAAAACTGGAGGACCAGGCAGGGATAACAGGGAAGGCACTACAATGGATCAGGGAATATTTGACAGGAAGACAGCAGCGAGTCATGGTACGTGGCGAGGTGTCAGAGTGGGCACCTGTGACCAGCGGGGTCCCACAGGGGTCATCCTAGAACCAGTGCTGTTTCTGGGATTTGTGAACGACATGACGGAAGGAATAGACTCTGAGGTGTCCCTGTTTGCAGATGACGTGAAGTTGATGAAAGAATTCACTCAATCGAAGACCAGGCAGAACTACAAAGGGATCTGGACAGGCTGCAGACCTGGTCCAGCAATTGGCTCCTGGAGTTCAATCCCACCAAGTGCAAAGTCATGAAGATTGGGGAAGGGGAAAGAAACCGTAGACGGAGTACAGTCTAGGGGGCCAGAGACTACAAACCTCACTCAAGGAAAAAGATCTTGGGGTGAGTATAACACCAGGCACATCTCCTGAAGTGCACATCAACCAAATAACTGCTGCAGCATATGGGGGCCTAGCAAACCTCAGAACAGCATTCCGACATCTTAATAAGGAATCATCAGGACCCTGTACACCGTGTACATTAGGCCCAATTGGAGTTTTGGGCCCCAATTTTGGTACCAGCAGTAAAAAAAGAAAAAGGGTGGGTTTGAACAGGATTTCCCCAAGGGGGCTTAAAAAAGTTTTCCACAAATTAAAAGGGAAAAACCCTGAGGACCCGGGGGCAGGGATAAACGGGGAAAGGCATACAAAATATGAATTTTTGAAAAAAGGGAAAAACCGAGCCAAAAGGAAAAGGAAACGGGGGGGGGTTTTGGGAAAGGTGGGACCGTGAAAAAGGGGGGTTTTAAGGGTATTTTTTAGCCCCAAGTGCGTTTTGGAATATTTGGGGAAAAATTGAGGAAAGGAAAAACATTTTTGGGGTTTAAAAACCCTTTTTTTGGGAGATGCCCGTGGTTTTATAAAAAACCCAATCGGACCCCCCCCAGAACCCTAACGGGTGATTAAACAGGTTGGAAAAGAACCCTTCCCACAACCCCACCCCCCCGCCCCCCAAAGTCTTTTTAAAAAAACCTTCCTTCCCCCTTTCCAAGGCTTCCCCCCTTCTTTTGGGTTTTCCTCCCCCTCCCCCCCCCCCTCCCCCCCCCTCTCTCATCATTTTCCCCCTCCTCCCTTCCCCTCTTTTCTCGGCCCCCTTCCCTTCCTTCCCTATTTCCCCGCCTCCTTCCCCCCCTTTTCCCCCCTAAAAAAAAAATTCTTTCCCCCTGTCCCCCCCTTTTTTCCCCCCCTCCTGGGGTTTGGGCCCCCCCCCTTGCCCCCCTTTTGGGGGGTCCCCCCTTTCCCCCATCCCCCCCCCTTATTTTCCTCCCCTTCCTTGGCCCCCCCCCTCTTCAAAACCCCTTCTCTTTTTTTTCTTCCCCCTATCTTTTTTTTTTCCCCTCCCCCCCTCTTTAAAAATTTTCCCCTCCCTCTGCCTTCTCTTTCCCCCCCTCCTCCCCCCCAAAACTCCCCCCGGTTCCCTTTTTGGGGTCACCCCCCCTCCCCCTCCCCCCCCCCCCCCCCCCCACCCCCCCCCTCCCCCTCACTCCCCCTCTCTCTCCCCCGTCTCCCCCCCTCTCTCCCCCCTCTCTCCCCCCCTCTCTCTCCCCCTCTCCCCTCCCCCTCTCCTCCCCCCCCTCTCCCCCCCTTTCTCTCCCCCTTCTCTCCCCCCCCCCTCCCCCTCTCTCCCCCCCTCCCCTCCCCCCTCCTCCCCCCCCCTCTCCCCCCCTCCCCCCTCCCCCCCCCTTCCCCCCCCCCTCTCTCCCCCCCTCCCCCCTCTCACCCCCCTCTCTCCCCCCCCCCCCCCTCTCCCCCCCCCCCCCCCCCCCCCTCTCCCCTCTCCCCCCTCCCCCTCCCTCCCCCCCCTCTCCCCCCCCCCCTCTCCCCCCCCCCCCTCTCCCCCCCCCTCCCCCCCTTTTAACCCCCCCCCCCCTTTCTCTCCCCCTCTCTCCCCCCCCCCCCTCCCCCCCCCCCCTCCCCCCCTCCCCCCCCCCTCTCCCCCTCTCCCCCCCCCTCCCTCCCCCCTCCCCCCCAAATCCCCCCCCCCTCCCCCCCCTCCCCCCCCCCCCCTCTCCCCCCTCCCCCTCCCCCCCCCCCCC